AGTCACATGCTGCTGGCACAGGACCTGTGTCTTCTTGCTTCTGCATTTTGATAGCATACTCCCTCTCATTTGAAAGGTCCTTATTCACCTTCTCCTTGTTGGTCCAAATATCATTAATTCTTTAAAATCCAGCTCAAATGTCACCCTCTAGGAAGCCTCCTCTAATTCTCCCAGTCAATAGTTCTCTCTCTCTTCCCCCTCTGAAAGAGATCTAACTCTACTAATGATAGTTTTTTTGCGGTGACTATTCCTCCTATTCAATTTTCTTGAATAAAGGATCAGTATCTAATGCACCTTTGTGTACTACACTACCTTATATAGAGTGAGACCTAAATAAATATTTATGGAACAGACAAAATTAATAATAAATCCTTTGATTTATTGAAATCTTAAAAATATTAAGTTTTTAATCTGTTTTCTTACTTTGTATTTTCTAAATGCATCTGAAAATAATATTATCTTAAAACTTTCAGACCAACAATCCTTAGTATCCTTTCAGTTCTTATTTCTTCTACTTCTGCTTTGTTACAGTTAGAGAGGTTATAATATTAAGAGCTGCCAGTTGTGTAATGGCAAGCTCTTAGCCAACATGAACGTTAAGAAGTAACTGTGTTGTGAAGCGTTAAGGATATAAAAAAAGGAAAGTGAAAGAACTACAATTATAAATCTATAAAGAATTAATATCAAATAATTACTTGGCCATTTAAGATAGTAATTTTTCTATGCTGCCATTACAACCCTAAAAGGATGCTAATAGGTATACCAATAGGTAATTTACAACTAATTGATGTTTTAAGTAGTGATTCTTTTTTTTTCTTAAGATTTATTTATTTATTTGAGAGAGAGAGAGAGCACGCGTGCGAGTGTGAGCATGAGCGTGGCGAGGAGGGGCAGAGGGAGAGGGTGAGAGAGAATCTCAAGCATACTCCATGCTGAGCATGGAGCCCACAGAGCGGGGCGTGATCTCACAACCCTGAGCTAAAACCAAGAGTTGGACACTTAACCAAATGAGCCACCCAGGCACCCCTAAATACTGATTCTTAAATGTTGTTTTAGGCTTTCATACAGATGTGTTGAGATTTTCTCTTTTCTCCTTTCTCCCTTAGGGGAAATTCATAAATGCCTTTTGGCAATCCTACACTTCCTAGATATCTTCTAGTTATTTGTTTATGGCTCATATTTATCTTCCTACCCATAATTTTAATTTAGCCTTCAATGTTCTCAAATCCTACTTCCTACTTCCAGTATTGCTTGATCACTGAACAAAGGACCAATCTTCCCCTTCTCTGAGTTCCTGCTACTTTTATAACCTGTATCATACAAAGTAGTCTTTCCTAAACTCCCTTATTTTGTTCATACAGAAGCCTAATTTCTTCAAATGAATTTTAAGACCAATGAGTACACCCTCAGTTTCTTTCATATCCTTCTTGGGTTGACACAGAGCAAATGCTTAAGATACAGATAAATAACTCTTCTTCCCCTCCCTTTACTCAAGCTTTAAACAGAAGCTTATTAAGAAGCTTTTTAAACTGTGAAATAAATAATGGTACCCATAACCCACAAAAAAGATAATGGTTACTCTAGAATAAACAAGGCATAAATACTTCATCTTGAGTTCAATTTATCTGACAGTAATCCCTAAATGTTTGATGATGCAACATGACAAAGGCAAGTAGGCAAATGTGAGGCGTACTACATTCTTTCATGTAAGACTTCTTAGAACTTTCAATATTCTAGGAATGTCAAATGAAACCTTTTCCAATTTATTTGGCCAAGAAAATGTTTCTCCGAAACACCTATTCATGAGTTGAGCAAGACCACTACCACTGTTCTTAAAGTATACAGTCTTAGGGGTGCCTGGGTGACTCAGCTAGCTGAGCGTCCCATTCCTGGTTTTGGCTCAGGTCATGATCTCATGGGTGGTGAGATCAAGCCCCACGTCCGGCTCCGCACTCAGCAAGGGAGTATGTTTGAAGATTCTCTCCCTCTGCTCCTTCCAGCCTCAAATAAATAAATAAATCTTTAAAAAAAAGTGTACAGTTTTAGTAACAGGATCTCAAATGTACCTTGTATGCCTACCTTAGAGACAGAGATCTACTACCCATAATTTTTTAAAAAATGAGACAAAACTAAGATATGCTTTCACTATTTAAAAAATCAAGATATCACAAAATCAGTTTATTAATGTGGTTTATATTATTTAATATTTCACTATATAAAAAGAGTATAGTCATTTATAGAATAAATTTGATTTTAAGTCACCACAATTTTTTTTTTTTTAAAGATTTTATTTATTTATTTGAGAGAGAGGATGAGAGGAGAGAGAGAGCACATGAGAGCGGGGAGGGTCAGAGGGAGAAGCAGACTCCCTGCTGAGCAGGGAGCCTGATGTGGGACTCGATCCCGGGACTCCAGGATCATGACCTGAGCTGAAGGCAGTTGCTCAACCAACTGAGCCACCCAGGCGCCCCTCACCACAATATTTTTAATACTAAGACATAAAGGTTTACTGAATAAAAGAGAAGATAAAGGGGATAAGATATGTATGTTGACTTTTTAGCTGTAAAAGTCTTCTTTTGGTATGGTCTAAGATATATGTTCTTCAAAAGGCTCTTGCTATGATTTTAGAGTTTGTTGGTTTTTATTCCTGCTTTGTGTGTCTGAATTAACACTAGCCCTTTTTTTCTTTTGAGATGTAAAAATTTTGAAAAGTAGGGAGCACCCATGTTCCCCCACCTAGAACACACAATCACTAATATTTTGTCATATTTCCTTCAAACTTGTTTCTTATAAATAATACAATAGCAAATATCCAGCCATTTGTTTAACAGGTACTCTTAGTGAGCACAGACTTTGTATTAGCACTGTGTTAAGTGCTGCACATTGAATCGTGAGCAAAACAGCCAAATGATCTACAATTACATATGCACTTTACAACTCGGTAGGAGAAACACAATCAAATAATCAGAGAAATACTTACAAACTGAAATGCTGAGATTAAAGTACTAACCAGCCTGAGATTAAAGTACCATCTCAGCTGGGATTCCATGAGAGAATCAGATGCTAAGGACAATGATTTGAGGCACTATTTTCTCAATTCCCTTAAGACTGGCACATAGCTAGTACCATCCTGGAAGTACAGGTGAGAAGTTAATTCATACATACAATGGGTGTCTCACTTAAGGCACTAGGATTTGTCTCTCAGAACCAGCTGAGGACTGGTACAGATTCTATAAGAAAGAACTAAACTTTGGTGGTGATGGTGGTAAGTGAGGGGATGGTTAGAAAAGCCCAAGGAAGTGAAGTCTTTAACTGAAATATGAAGGATATATAGGTATTATCTAGGCCAGGGCTGGGTGGGGTAGTAGTGTGAAACATTGTCTTTCCAGGGAACAAACATTGTCTTTCCTTTGAAGGCCCTAAGGGACAAAGGAACAAGGTAATTTTGGAGAATTAAAAGACCAGTACAGCTAAATACAAAGAACAAGGTCAGGGAGGAATAATAAAACATGAAGTTGGAAAGACAGGCAGGTAGGCAGGGACCAGAAAAAATGACTTCAACTGCATTAAAAAAGATCACTGTGGCTCCAATGGGCTACAGAAATAAGAGCAGATGAGGAAGACCAGAGGAAACCTTCTGCAGTGATTCAGGTAAGAGATAATGGCTTAGACTAGGGTGGTGATGGCAGGAGTGGAGAAAAGTAGATTTGAGTGGAATTTAAAATATAAAGGAAGGGATAAGGGTAGAGAGGGATGACTCCCAGGTTCTGGGTAAATGCTGCTGCTGAACATTGGGAAAAGTCTGGAGAGTAAGCTTTTACCTGGGTTTGATGTCACTTTGAGATACCTGTAGGAGATGTCAAGGAGGCAAATGTAGATATGAATCTGGAGTTGAGAGAAGGGGTCTAACTTGTAGTTCCTTTCATAGAGGAAAACGAGGGGGACTGGCAGAGATCTCAAGCAGTAGCCATCAAGCTTGGGCAGCACACATTAGGAAACAAGATGTATATGCATGGCATTTGTGTTATGTATAACACAAGGTGATATACATTAAAATAAAAAGATTGAGAAAAAAGGGGAGAAAAAGTGAGACAGGATGGTTGCCTTAATTTTTTCCATCCTTATGTGAAAGACAGTTATAGATATAGGTAGTTAAACAATATGCTATTGCTGCCTTGTAAATGCTGCCTTGTAACTATCAAAAGAGTTAGAATTTATCTGATAATGTAAATTCCAAAATCAGACACTTAGCTGATATTAAATCATAAAGCAATTTTCTTATAAATATTTTCAGAAGCAAAAAACTGTACAGATCCTTTTTCTCCCTCTTTAATGGTTTTTATTTTCACACTTTACCCTCTATATACATTAACCCAACTTCACAATCTTCATATTTTTGCATTACTTTGGAGAAATATAAGAATACTACCTTCACAATTATATAATGTTATATTAACCAAAAATCTAATATGTGGGCCACTTTGTTTAAATGATTGCTAAAATACTAAATACTAAAATCAAGTTTACTGTTGGGTGGTTTTAGTATATGGTACACTGAATTTTTAACTTAAAAATTTTTTTAAAGACTTTATTTATATGAGACAGAGAGAGCACACACACAAGCAGGGGGTGGGGAGGGGCAGAGGGAGAGGGACAAGCATACTCCCCACTGAGCAGGGAGCCAACATGGGGCTTGATCCCAAGATTGGAGATCATGACCTGAGCCAAAGGCAGACAGACACTTAACCAACTGAGCCATTCAGGCGCCCCTAAATTTTTTTTTACATTGAAAAATTTTTAACTTTGCTGACTTTTTAAAAGGGTTAATACAAATCAAATGCCAAATAAAATTCTTATTGATAAAAAGCAAGAAAATTCCAAGTAGTACCATATTAGAGAGGACAAGTAATTATATTCCTACTTTGTATTTTTGTGCTTGAATAACTATGGTCCTATATTTGTTCTTTAGTTTAAACAAGTTGTTTCAGTTTGTTACATACCAGTTAGCAATGTCTTTGTGAGCCACTAAATTTTGAAGAAATGCTTGTAATCCTAGTTGCCTATCTTCTAAAAAGTCAGCATTGTAATTATCTTTGAACCAGCGTTTTGGTGGAAGTGCTAATCGAAAGCCTGGAAACATCTCTTTTAACTGAAAAAGAAGAAAAAAGAAAATACAATGTTCAACTCAACATATCAATTCTATAAAATCTATCCTGTTAACTACATGAACTTGTTCATGAAATAAACTTAAAATAAAATAATGAAATTCAGCTAAACTTTTTTTTTAAAAGATTTTATTTATTTGACAGAGACAGACACAGCAAGAGAGGGAACACAAGCAGGGGGAGTGGGAGAGGGAGAAGCAGGCTCCCTGCAGAGCATGGGAGCCCGATGTGGGGCTCGATCCCAGGACCCTGGGATCATGACCTGAGCCAAAGGCAGACGCTTAACGACTGAGCCACTCAGGCGCCCCTCAGCTAAACTTTTTAGATCTCAATAGTTTACTTATTGATTTCTACCAGTTGTATATACACAGGTGTTACAGTTGCTCCATATCCTTGCCAACACTTGGCATTGTCCATCCTTGTAATGTTAGCCATTCTGGTGGGTATGTAGTAGTATTTCACTGTGGCTTTAATATGCATTTCTCTGTTGACAAATGATGTTAACTATTTTCTTATGGGCTTTTTTAGATTTGCATATCTTTGGTGAATTATCTATTCAACTCTTCTAACCCCTCCATTTAAAAAAACTGGGTTATTTATCTTTTTATTATTAAGTTGCAAGAGTTTTTTATATATTCTGGATACAGGTCCTCTGTCAGATGTAATAAGTATGACAAATATTTTCCCCCAGACTGTGGTCTTTTACACACATTTTTTTGATTCTTGCAAGTAAAAGCTGGTGATGGATAGAGCTCTTTCTGGTACCTAGAACGCTGACATAGATACTTATTAATTTTAAGTGCCCAACTTGGAATATGTAGGAGATATTTACTAACTTAAATTCCTACTAACATCCTTCTTTAAAAGCTTAAGAGTTATCTAAATCTCAACTTGCCTAAGATAAGAACTATTATAGCAATATAAAGATGAATCCAGAGAGGTAAAGAGAAGTAAACATTAAGTAATAATTGAACCCTCAAAAGAAAAGTAGCAAGTCATAAAGGATTAAATAGCTCTAAATTGAAACTGTTAGAAATTAGTCTTCATGAACAAAAATTATAAAAATTTCATAAGCAAGTTAAGAATTCCACTTAAGTATCTGGTAACTTCATGAATTACTTTGATCTTCTTAATTATTATTAATTATTATTTAATTATGAGTACAGAATTATAGGTTTTTAATTCATCAGTGTAATAATAAGAACTCAGGAACCTTAAATAAAATTCATATTTAATGATGGAAATATATTACAAATAATACTTTATTTTGGCATATTACAAAAAGTCATCTTGATAATACCTAAATAAAGGATAAAATAGTTTAGCATTTTATATTTTACCTTTCATTCAGATTGAGGTTTTTAGAATGGCAGAAACTTTTTGGCAGCCAGGTAACTGCAAAATCACATAAATGGGTTTCCTACCACCAAAAATGATAAGGATATACTAACTTTAGAAGTTTTTTTTTTTTTTTTTTT